CATTTTGCAGATGCTACACATTGCTGCCACTGTGTGTCAGTGGTGGAGAGAGTGAGTGTTTTGATGCAGTGCCAGTCTATGCTTTGTCCTAGATGGTACTGAGCTTCTTGAGTGCTTTTGGAGGTGAAATCACCCAGAAGTGGAGGCACTATTCCACCACACAACTGCCTTGTGCCTCGTAGATGGAGGATAGGCTTTGTGTAGTCAGGAAGTGAGTTACTCGCTAAATTCAAAGCCTCAAAACCTACTCTTGTAACCATAGCATTTAGATGCCAAATGCAATTCAGTTTCCCATCCATGGTAATTTCATGATGTTGATACTGGGGGATTCAATAATGGTGATCCTATTGCATGTCAAGGGACAAAGATTAGATTCTCATTTGTTGGAGGTGGTCATTACCTGCAACTTCAGTAGTGTGAATAATATTTGCCATTTATCAGCCTAAGCTTGGATGTTGTTCAGGTCTTGCCACATTTGAGCATGGACTGCTTCAATATCTGAGAAGTTGCAAATGGTACCAAACATTCTACAATCACCAGTGAACATCCCACCTCTGACATTAGGATGGAGGGAAGGTCATTGATGAAGATGGCTGGACCTTGGGCACAACTTGAAGGAACTCCTGCAGTCATGTCCTGTGGCTGAGATGACTAACCGTCAACAACCACAATCATGCTCCTTTGTGTTAGGTGTGCCTCCAACAAACAAACAGTTTTCAGCCCATTCTGATTAATTCTAATTTTGCTAGGGCTTTTTGATGTCACACTCAATCAAGTGTTGTCTTGATTTCAAGGGAAGTTGTTCTCACCTTGCCTGTTGGGTTCAGGTCTTTCATCCATCTTGGACCAATACAGTAATGAGGTCAGGAGGTGAATGGACCTGTTAGAACTCAAACTCAGTGCTTGCGAGCAGGTTGATGTTGAGTGCTTGATAGCACTGTTGACAACCCCTTCTGCTACTTTGCTGATGATTGAGAATAGAATGGTAGGCCAGGTTCAATTTGTTATGGTTTTTATGAATAGGGCTTAGATGGGCAATTTACCACATTATCAGGAAATGCCAGTGTTTGAACTGGACTGGAATACCTTGGCTAGGAGTATATTTGCTTCTGGAATATAAGTCTTGAGTACTTTTGTCAGAATATTGTCAGAACGTTATTGAATTCCCCAGCAGCAACATCATGGATATTACCATGGACCATGACCTACATTCAGCATGTAAAACTATGGTTACAAGAGTAAGTTGGAGGCTTTGAATTTGATGAGTAACTCACTTCCTGATTACACAAAGCCTATCCTCCATTTACAAAGCGCAAGGCAGTAGTGTGATGGAATACTTTATGTTCCTGGCTGATTTCAGCTCCAAAAGAACTCAAGAAGCTCAATACCATCCAGGCAATGACACAGTGGCATTATCACTAGACATTAATCTAGAAACTCAGCTAATGTTCTGGGAACCTGGGTTCAAATGGTGGAAGTTGAATTCAATAAAAAAAATCTGGAATTAAGAATCTACTGATGGTCGTGAAACCATTGTCGATTGTTGGAAAAACATATATGTCCTTTAGGGAAGGAAATCTGCCATCCTCACCTGATCTGACCCACATGTGACTCCAGATCCACAGCAACGTGTTGACTGTCAACTGCCCTCTGAAGTGCCCTTGCAAGCCACTGAGTTAAAGAGCAACTACGGACAGGCAATAAATGCTGACCAGTGATGTCCATGTCCCATGAGTGAATAGAAAGGGTCCCTGGCCTTTGTAGTATCCAGTGCCTTCAAACATTTCATGATATCACGTGGAGTGAATCAAATTTGATAAAGGCTAGAATTTGTGATACTGGGGACCTCAGGAGGACATTTAGGTAAATCATCCACTTAACACTTCTGGTTGTAGATTGTTGCGAATGCTTCAGCCTTGGCAATTTCACTGATGTAGTGGACTCCCCTATGATTGAGGATGGATGTACTTGTTGAACATCCTCCTCCATTGAGTTATTGAATTGTCCACCATCATTCCTGACTGAATGTGGCAGGATATGATCAGTTGGTTGTGGTATCATTTTGCCTTATCTATTGCATACTACTTGATCTGCAGGGAACATAGTCCTTGTTTTAACTTCACCAGGTTGACATTTCATTCTTAGTTATGCCTGATACTGTTCCAGCCATGGCCTTCTGCTCTCTTCTTTGATTGAAGGTGACACTAGAGTGGAGGATATGCCAGGCCATGAGGTTAAAGACTGCTGGATAAATGGACAGATTCATCCAGTCAGGTAGATCAGCAAGGAGGAGATCAAGTAGGTTTTGTCCTCTTATTGGTTCCCTTACCACCTGTGGTATACCTAGTGTAATAGCTATGTCCTTTAGAACTCAGCCAGCGAGGTCAGTAGATGTGCTGCTGAGATGCTGTTCCTGATGGACATTGAAGTCCCCCAACCACAGGTGAAGTTCTGAACATTGATTCTCTTAAACACCTCGGTTTCAGCCTATTGGATAGACAGCATCTGCGGGTGTACAGAAACAGGAACATTTCCAAGACATGCCTCATTAATTGTCAATGCCGATGACAGAGATAATGCTGAGTTTTCATTAATCTATCAGAGAAATGACTGAGAAATCTGAAAAAGTTTACTTCAACAGTAATACAACAATGAGAGACTGAAGATGCCCAGCCTGTTCAACAACTCAAGAAAAACAAGCTGCAAATGGCTCCATGAGACCTGGGCTGATGACCACAGAATCAAGACACTGTGTAAAGGACAAAATTGCTTAGTTTAAACATCTAGGCCACTGCAAACACAGTCAGAAAGATATCAACTGATCCAGAATTGCAAGACATGGCAAGGAAAATTGTGCTTGTCTTAACTAAGCAGCTGTCTTCCACAATAGATTTCACAAGATTAAAGGTCCCTAGATTATTTTAATTACCAGAGTTAACAGAGAAGAGTTCCTTTGCAAAGGAAATTCATGAGATTTAAGGTTTCTAGATAAGGTAATGGACCTACAACCACGTCTACAAAAAAATAACATGTTCCATGACAGATATCTGAGAGATAAAAGATGCTCCAGAAGAGAAATGATCCACAGATCAGAACCAGGTTCAACAGTCTTCAAGTGAAAGGCCTACCATTCATTTGTGTCTGTAAAGTGTATATTCTGGGAAATTGTCAAACATCCAGACAACCTACATTCGTGAAGTCAAAGACTTGTGGTATAGATGGTGTAGTGAAAAATGTAATATAGATATATACATGATTGTAGAATGGGATAACTCTGGGGGAAAGCTTAAGGATGATGCATAAACTAATTATTCTGAAGGGATTAATGTTCATCTTACATAAGCTCTGCCCAGATGTCATACACAGTTGTGTAACCAAGGACCCCTGTTCCAGTTTTTGGAAGGAGCAGATGTATCTACACTAGCTTTCTAAGGCCCCAATAATTGCTCCTGATCAAATGTAATTTGTTACTATCATGTCTGGCCTGCTGTATAGGAAAGATGTTGTGAAACTTGAAAAGGCTCAGAAAAGATTTACAAGGATGTTGTGGGGGGAGGTTTTGTGGGTCTGAGTTATAGGGCGAGGCTGAATAGGCTGGGGCTATTTTCCCTGGGGTGTCAGAGGCTGAGGGTGACCCTATAGAAATTTATAAAATCATGAAGGGCGTGGACAGGGTGAATACTCAAAGTCTTTTCCCCAGGGTGGGGGAGTTGAAAACTGGAGGGCACAGGTTTAAGAAGAGAGGGTTAATATTTAAAAGGGACCTAAGGGGCAACTTTTTCACACAGAGGGTGGTGCATGCATAGAATGAATTGCTAGAGGAGGTGGTGGTGGAGGCTAGTACAATTGCAACATTTAAAAGGCAGCTGGATAGGTATATGAATAGAAAGGGTTTAGAGAGAAATGGGCCAAATGCTGGCAAATGGGACTCGATTAATTTGGATATCAGGTTGGCGCACACGAGTGGCACTGAAGGGTCCACTTCCATGCTGCACATCTCTATGACTCTATGACTTTAATAAACCTTGAGGTTATCAAAGAATAGCACCTT